CGCCGCAAACACAGGTGTTGAGGCATAGATGGCATCGGCGTGGTTGACCTTTGGCGACGATGCCACCTTTCTCCCTGTGAACCCATTTGCTCTGGAGGATGGTCCGTTGTTTCGGGAGTGAGCTCGTCAATGTGTCGTTCTGTGAAGACCTGTTGTTGTTTCACAGAGTCGATCTCGTTCCTCATGCCAATAATGAGCTTTTGCTTGTCGAATCCTCTGCGTCATGGATGATTGGTTCTAGAAGGATGCGTTCTGTTTTTGCTTCCTGATTCTTCATTCGCTGTTGCTGTAATTTTGGTTTCTCCTTTCTTTGTTGTCACCTGAAGTGCTGAGATCCTCAGTCTTGTTGCTGGCTGTTCTGTGCTTCCTGTGGCTGAGCCCCTGATCTTGGGAGTTGTTCGGACTTGCTTCGGCTCATGCTTCGTTGCTGCGGTTGTTGCTGGTGCTTCAAGGCTTCGCTTGCTTGGTGAGCCGTCTCCTAGTGTTGGCGTTGGTAGCGCTTGTCTCTTCTGTTAAGATGTTGGTGACATTGCAAGGGTAACGTCCGTAATGACCCCTTGTTCTCCTTTGATTCTTGTTGTTCGCTTGCGCGCTTGCTTGTGATCAGTGGTTGCGCGTCGACAATCTGTGTCTCTACCGTTGCTGATGGCTTCGGCGCCGAAATGGCAAGCGGCATAACGCCTGTTGGAGCTGTTGAAACGGGTGTCCATGGATAAGAGTTGACGACGTCTACGAGTTGCTTATCGAAGTTGTCTGGATGACCGTCCTCCAAATTGTTCGCGCTCTGACGACTCGCTTGGAAACGCCAATGATGCGCTCATTTGTTGCTGTATCCTTGCCAAGGCAGATGCCTTTGAAGAAGCGCTGCTCAAGCTGTGGCATTGTCTTTTCTGTTTGAGCCATGTATTGAACTGTTTCTGCAAAGATGCAGATTGGGGTTCTGCGTTCCTTTCCCCAGCGTCTGTAGAAGCTGGCGTTGCCATCGTTGTGAATGAGGTAGCGGTTGAGCAAGTAGTTGGAACGCTGCGCCAACCACGGCATAAGCGGTTGCTCGCCGTTGAATGAGGTGTCCGCAGCGGACTAGAGTAGCCCGCCATTTTGGTATGGCAGGAGTCGGCCGCAGCGGCTAAGCTACTCAAGACCCAGTGGAATCAAACCAGGCCACATGTTCCAAGGTCCTCTCTATTTTCCTCTTCCAAGGTCCTCTGTATTTTCCTGGCCCCGTCATGTGGTTTCCCTTTTCATTCTTCTTCCCGCACACACATTCTTCTCCTCCTTCCTTTCATGCCCTTTCTGTCTTCATGTCTTGTCTTGTCATCTCATCCCTTTCTCTCTTTTGCGTACACATTAGTCCGGCCCTTGGCGTACACGTGCGCTCGTACACTAAACCCAGGTCTGAGGTCGCCCAGGTTGTTATAATGAGGTATCCCTCATCGGATTGTTCCTGTTTATTTGGGTCCATTTCGTCGCAACCACGTACACTGTCCTGCCCTGTCTTCCTCTCACGTCTTCATCTTTTTCCCGAGAGCATCTGCGAAGGGTTCCTCGTAAAAAGACATCTGCAGAACTACGTATCATCTACATCTTCACATCTTCACCTATATCTCTGCTCATGTTCACATCTGCACATCTACATCTCTGCTCATCTTCACATCTGCACATCTACATCTCTGCTCATCTTCATCTTCACATATCTACATCTCTGCTCATGTTCACATCTGCACATCTACATCTCTGCTCATCTTCACATCCTCACATCATCTCTGCTCATCTTCACATCCTCACGTCTACAGCTCACATCTTCACCTCTCGCTCTTCTTAACTTTCTCTCTTAAGGCCGGGGCAGTGCCGCCGGAGCACCACGAAACGCAACCCTCTGCGGAGATCGTGCGTGTCGAGCGCACAAAACGCAGGCGAGAGTGCGATTTGGTTTTGTCCGGCGCAACCCTCTGCGGAGATCGCGCGCGTCGAGTGCGCGAAATGCAGGCGAGAGTGCGATTTGTCCCGGTCCGGGACAACCCTCTGCGGAGATCGTGCGTGTCGAGTGCGCGAAATGCAGGCGAGAGTGCGATTTGGTTTTTTGTCCGGCACAACCCTCTGCGGAGATCGTGCGTGTCGAGTGCGCGAAACGCAGGCGAGAGTGCGATTTGTCCCGGTCGCGGGCGTGTCGAGTGCGCGAAATGCAGGCGAGAGTGCGATTTGTCCCGGTCCGGGACAACCCTCTGCGCAGATCGTGCGTGTCGAGTGCGCGAAATGCAGGCGAGAGTGCGATTTGGTTTTGTCGCGGGCAACCCTCTGCGGGGATCGTGCGTGTCGATGGCGCGAAATGCAGGCGAGAGTGCGATTGGGGAGCTGGAAGATGAGAACTGGCGACTTTCTAGTACAACTTTAGTACGCGGAGTATCTGGGGAGCTGGAAGATGAGAACTGGCGACTTTGTAGTGCAACTTTAGTACGCGGGCAATCTGTGGAGCTGGAGGCTGAGAACTGGCGACTTGCTGGAAGCTGAGAACTGGCGACTTTGTAGTACAACTTTAGTACGCGGAGTATCCGGGGAGCTGGAAGATGAGAACTGGCGACTTTGTAGTACAGCTGGAAGCTGAAAACTGGCGACTTTGTAGTACAACTTGAGTACGCGGAGTATCTGGGGA